ACTGACTAGAACAGCGGTTCTCAACCTGTGGGTCGTGACCCCTTTGGCGGTCGAACGACCCTTTCACAGAGGTTGCCTAAGACTATCCTGCATAACAGATATTTACATTACGATTCATAACAGTAGCAACATTACAGTTATGAAGTAGCAACGAAAATAATTTTATGGTTGGGTCACAACATGAGGAACTGTATTTAAAGGGCCAGAAGGTTGAGAACCACTGGACTAGAACAGTGATGGCGAACCTTTTGAGCTCGGCGTGTCAGCATTTTGAAAACCCCTAACTTAACTCTGGTGCCGTGTCACATATAGAAATTTTTTTTATATTTGCAACCATAGTAAAACAAAGACTTATATTTTTGATATTTATTTTATATATTTAAATGCCATTTAACAAAGAAAAATCAACCAAAAAAATGAGTTCGCGTGTCACCTCTGACATGCGTGTCATAGGTTCGCCATCACTGGACTAGAATATTCCACACTACTCTTGCCCCTTCTGAATGCAGAGCTCCAGAGAGGCCGACCCCAGGAAGAGGAAGAGGTAGATGAAGTCTATTAATCTCTTCTAGACTCATTTCCTGATTTTCATTACAGGTATCCTGCCACCACCACTACCATGATGGGTTTGATTTCTGTACCCACCTCCAAGTGCTCCACTGCTGGCCCAGCCTAGGAGCTGGTTTTACCTCTTTGTCGAGATACCCATGTGTCTCACATCTCTTATGCTTCTAGATTTCTTTCTTTTTTTATATGTTTTTTTTAATTGAGAGAGAGAGAGAGAGAGAGAGAGAGAGAGAGAGAGAGAACATTAAATATTTATATCTGGTCATTACTGTTGGTCATCAATATGATAGTTATGAGCAAATTATGTGGCTTTAGTGCTATAGCTCATCAAAGATGTGGCCATAGACCAGCACTAAACCACTGAGCAACACAGCCAGGCTGCTTCTAGCTTTCTAACTCAGTAAAAGTCTATTTCATCTCATTTGGTATTCAGCAGCCACACTGAAGAAGCCCTCTCTGACTAATTAGATAAAAAGTAGCAAATTCTCCCACTTGCCTCTTGGCATAGGCACCCCACACACTAGCCACCTTTAAACACACATCCCTTTCTTGTAGCCGATATTACTGCAATTCACTTCGACTTGCTGTCTGTGTGTTCTTGATCTCTATCAGCCTCCGTGATGTCTGGGTTAGATTGTGCAACTCCCAGAGGGCAGGGCCACATGGGCCATGTGTCTTTACACTTTGCTCAGCAGAGCAGCAGGCATAGGTGGGCACTTAATACTTGTGATGGTGGAAGCAGAGGAGCAGCACTGTGCCTAGACCATTGTGAGTGCACAAAAAAACAACCCACTAACACAGCCAGACCACGACCATAGCGCTCCTCCTGCCAGACTGGGAGCCAGGGCACATTTTTCCTTTTAAACGAGGCAGGGGGAGCATTCTCTTGCATTTGAGACAACAACAACAACACACTGTAACAGCACTGATGCTCAATGACCTTGTATATTGGGGATGATCATCATTATCCCAACTTAAAAAAATGAGGACCCAAGGCACAGAGAGGCTATACAATTTGTTCAGACCTTGAGCTAGGACCATCTGGCTTCAGAGACCTCCGCTAACCCACCAGGCTTCACTGTCCCTCAAAGTGAACTAGAAATGGAGAGCGAAGGGTTGGTGACTGGGCTCTTGTCTTACACTCTCATGGACCTTGACCCTGATCCAACCTGAATGAATGGCTGAAAGGAGGAGAGTGGGTACTTGGTCAGTTTTCTAGGGTAAAGCCAAGTTGTCTCTCAAAGCATTTGTTCACACCTGCTCATCGCCCTCCTCCTGTTTCTCAAACATGCTCAGCTTATTCACACTGAGGCCTTTAAACCTGCTGTTCCCCCTACCTGAAATGATTTTCCATCAGGGGGTCCTCCTCACCATGTAGGTATCAGCTCAGAGGGAACCTTCTTAGGAAGGCTGTTCCTGAACACTGTATCTAAGGTAGCTGCATCTTTCCCAAGGCCCGCCCCTTTTCATTCTTGTCTAACTCATTTTCCTGTTTTACTTTTATCAAGGCAGTCAACACCATCCGAAATCACTTGATTTATCTAGTAGTTTATTTGTCAATTTCTGTATCTCCACTAGACTGTCAAATTCAGGAGAGCAGAGATCTCAACTGTTTTGTCTATTCCTGGATACTCAGTGCCTAGAACAGCATCTGGCACACTGTAAAAGCTCAGTCCATGTGTGTTAAATGCATTTATGAATGAGTGATGCGAAATCCTGTATAAATATGTGACACTAGCTGGATCTTTCAGTTGTCCCTCACCACATATTGGCAGGAAGAGACCACATCTTCGTGTTTGGCAGTCTTTTAGCCCTTGGAGTAGTGGCAGATGACTGGGGAGCTGTTCGGTCCCTTTGTTTGGCTGCAGGGAAAAGACCAAGACATTCAGCCCTGAGATTACAGTCTGTCTGCACGCCTTTCAGGGTCACATGTGGACAAATGCTGGACAGCTCTCTTCCTGAGCAGAAGGAAACTAAGATACTGAAATAAAATCTCAGCTTCTCTCTCCACCCTCACTCTCCCTCTCCCTCTCCCTTCTCTAGAAAGTTTTCCCTGTCTCCTCCCTCTTTTGTCTCCCTTCCTTATTGAAATGCTATGGGGGAAAATGAAGAAAAAGTGGGGAAATGCCTTCCCCACATCTAAGCTACATTGCTTTTAATACTTCTATAACATGTTCTCATTCTAATCTCCTGGCTCCTGCACAGATAAAGCAAATCCCAAAATGTAATGATAATATACAGGAAATACTTGATTTGATCCAGTCTTAATGCTGTCAAAATATCCTATTTCTCCCACATAATAACAGAGCCCATTCCTCTCGCAGTGTTGTTAGCTTTTTTAGTCAATGTTTTCTTCATGACACATCATGAGAATAATAAGTGAGGAAGAAAATCTTTTAATCTCTGACCCAACCCTGTAGCACACGAAGTGTTTCACAATATGCTTAATGATGTCATTCTTTTTCTTTTCTCAACAAAATACTGCTTTTTCATAATCAAAATACATGCAATTATTAATTAATCCCTTTCAAGGCATTTTCATGCTCATTATCTCCTGGGTCTTCTCAACAAATATGAGAAAAGGAGGGGAAGCAGAAAAAGGTGTCTTGAAATCACAGAAGTGGAAAAAGAACCCAGTGAGATAAAGCTATTTGGACTGCACACACCCATCAAATAGTCTCCAAGTCATGCTGTTCTCTATGGACTAGGGTACTCTTACCAGAAGCCACACTCCCAGCAGCCCCTGTGACATGCAGCCCTGAGCCAGCCCATATGGGAGAAGAAAGAAATAGCTTAAGAACTTAAGAAACTAAGTAATTCCTTGTCTGGGAATGGATGAGGCTCCTGATTCGGGCAAGATCCTGACCAGGTGGTCCCCAAAGTGAGGTTCCCTCTTGCTCTCAGCCAAGCCACTCTGCCTTGTGTCTCTGCTGGAGACCCAGCACTGGAGGTGATGCGGAGGGCTGGGAAAAGGGCATGGAGCAGGGACCCTGGACCTTCTCCCCTAACTGAAGTCCTCAACTCTGGGCGGTACTTTATTTGGGACTTCAGGCAATCCTCATCACAAGAAGAAGGAATCCAGCCCTCAAACTCTCAGAGATATGTATTCATCTGGATGTCTATATCTCCTTCCCTCATAATGCCCAGGGTGTGGCCTCAGTCATCATCTGTCCATGAAGTGCTTTCCCCATTCAGAGCAGAGATCAAATGAATGAAAATGTCAGCCAAGCCTGCCTCTTACAGAGCAAGCCCCCAACAAGAACCAGGACTACTCGGGACACCAGCATGGCATCCCAGTGCACTGCCATTTGTTCAGAGAGCACCTAGAAGTCTTCCCTCCTCTTCCAGGAAATCCACAAAGAAGTGGCTGATGTGATCACATAACCCTGCCCAGGGCCCAAGTGAGTATTCTTTCCCCAGAATGACTGACTAGATCTGATGTTCAGAGCTGGGATTCTGTGGAAAGAGCTGCCACAATATGACTCTGGAAGAATGTGCACATGCTATCCAGCATTGCAGACACTAGATTGAAAGTGGAGCTCAAAGGGGTGGGGTAAGTATGTCTGTGAAAATCTGAATGAATGGGGTAGTGAAAACTCTCAGACTTGGGAAGACTCTGGTCTGTGAGGTACTCGCCATTCTCTATCCTGGATGGGGAGAGTGGGAGGGACAATCTCAGTTGATGTGCTTCAAGCCTGAGAGGGGACTAGATACAACAAGATTCTCTATTAGTCTCTCTATTTCCCTTAAATTCACTCTCACCCCACTTACCTACCTGCTTTCAACCTAGGAAACACAAGTCTGCCAAGAAGTGTCTTAGCAAACTGCAGTCTCCTTGGACCTAGAATCCTTCTCCATTTTCTCTGCAGTGACTAAAACACACTGCTGAGAAGGAAATGTAATATGGGAGGGGACAGTCTCTACATGAAAATGAAGAAACAGGCACAGGCTCGTTGGGTTTCGGTCTATAAGAATAGGGAAAGTGGACAAGATCGCTGCTCACTTTCATGGAGGGAAGAAGTTTGAATCTGGGACTGAAGATGAGCTGGGGAAAATGCCACTCACAATAAATCAGACAAAAGGACATCTTCACGACAAGTGTGAACGGACCACCGAGTTCCTTCATTTCATTGCTCCTGACTTCTGGATCTTCTATTTTGAGGACACTTATGGAATTTTCACATGGAACTGAAGATACTAGCATTGGAAGGAACATGTAAACACTGGGATACAACCGAGCCACCAAACAGGCTCCACCAGGAACCAGACCCTCTTGGGGCAAACTTAACCAAAAGAACATCATTGAGAGTCTTAAAACTTACAGTCCTCACATTAGACACAACATAATGGTTCCCCAGAGCAAGTAGGCGAGTAGCAATCTGCGAGATCTGGAGACACTACAAGAAAGCAGGAAAAGGGGGAAATGGCCTTACCTGTTCTGGCCCCTGGAAGCAGATGCGGCACAGCGGGGTCCTCATGCCACTGTCCAGGCTGCTGCCCAGTGAGTAGCAGTCCTCAGCCTTCCCCTTACAGAAGTCATTTGAGGAGGCACTGCTGAGCAGTGAGGCAGGTGGCTCCGTGGCTGGGACACCCCAGTCATCTTCCACAGAAGAAGGTGGCAAAGGTGGTGGAGGTGGCAGAGGAGGGGTCTCCCTGCCCACCCCTTCTCGAGGGCCCCTCCAGCCTGCCCACCCCCCGGCACCCAGAGCCGGAAGGGTATTGTTGTTGGCGGTCAAACCTGGGGGCTGGGGGTCTCCGTGCATGGGCAGGGGTGCTGGAGGGGGGCGCCGAAGTAGGAAAACCTTCAGGTCATTGAAGAGCATGCGGCAGCGGCACTTGAGGAGACCCTGGTGGCGCAACATCTGGGGAGCTGGGGTGCACAGTCCAAAGCGGTACCAGGCACAGCAGTAGCAGCAGCACCACCACCAAAGCAGCCCACTCAGGGGCATCAGCATGTGCCCAGTGGAAGCAGAGAGCCCGGGAGGGGCAGCTGAAGTCTTTGCAGAAGCTAGGATGGTTTTGAGGGGTCCACAGAGTATCTGTGTTATGCGGGAGTCTGCTTTCTCACTGGTTCCTCCAAGTAGCAAATAAATTACCCCCAGGACTGAAGACTGCAAGTCACTGATTCTGAACTTTACCTGGAAAGCCCAACAATAAAAGCTTCTCTTGCTTCCACCCCACCTCACCCCAACCTTAGGCTTTGCTCAGGCTGCCTCCTTTCTGCCTGTGACCTGGGGGCACTGGTAGAGGGAGGGGGATAAAAGAAATGTTGAGGATAGTCTGTTAGGGCCTTGAGATGTAGGTCTAATTGTTAGAAAGTTCCCCAGGAGAGGATTATTGGGTTGTTCTCAAATTCATAGACAATGGGCAACCTTTCTTCTTGTATATAAAAAGGTGGGGAAGATTATAAATCAAATTTGGAGTGGACTGAGCTGGGATTAGGGCAAACTAGCTCAATGAAGAATTGAGGACTGTATGTGTGAGAGGGAAAAGATTATTTCTTCAGGTAGCCAGAGATTGGGGGGGAGGGGGGTTGGGGAGGGGAGGTAAGGTAGGAAGGAGAGGGGGTGGGAACAAGTTTTAATTCTCCTGGGCAGAAAACTGGGGCAATTAACCCCAGAAGCACCGGTGTTGCTTTTAAGAGAGCAGTTGGATGGGGGGAAGGGATCACAGGTGAACTTGGACAAGGGTCTTGTGCTTTGCCTCTGCAGCCGAAGGGCTGCACAAAAAAGGGAAAGCTAATCGGGAGAATAAAGGTGGGGAAATAAAGGACCGAGGAAGGGGAAAGAAAAGATCTTTTAACCCTTGCAAAGCGCCTTCTTCCTGGAAGAAGGGTGTGTATGGGGGGAGGGGGGCGGGAGGCAGTGGAGCAGAGAAAAGGGGTAGAGAAGAGGGGTGTGTAGAAAGGGACAGAAGGAAGTAGTTACATGACCTCAGCCTTTAGCCCACCCTGCGACAGTCTGTAAATCCTCGGACCCCTCCCCTGGGCTCCATCAAAGGTCCCTTCCGGCGAGGGGCGAGGGCCTGGAGAAGGGCAGGTCCGGGCGGGTGTGTGGCCTCGCGTTCTCCTTCTCGTCCTCCGCTGGACGGTGGTCGCCCCCTTGGTCTGGCTCCGGGTCTGCCCACGGCCGGCGAGGCTGCTGGGAAGGCGGTGGCGACTGCTGGTCG